CCCCAAAACCCCAAAACCCCAAAACCCCAAAACCCCTTAGCCAGAGAAAGATATTGAAAATATAGATGAAATAGTACAAAGGTTACCCCTTGGTCCCAGGTCTCCGCTTCCTACCTGCGCTCTTGAACCTGAATCCTCTTTTGAGAATATCTGCTGAACTATTCCTTGCCTTGTGTTTCTGAGATTTTAGACTCTTTTCGATAAGAGGCCTGATCTTTTCCCTCTTCTTGTTCTTCTCCACAAGTTTAGTTGTTTTCTCTTGAATAGCCCTTCGCATTGTTTTATAAGTATTAACAGCTTGGATGGAGAACTCATCTGCTTCTCCGAGATAATCAAGAGCTACATTATTTGGAGTTTCTGTATGCTTCAATAGCGGATTCATAGTCTAAGAATTAGAACAATTCTTACCCTTCAGGAATTCATTTTGTATGGCCAGATTTCGGTAGCACATCGAAAGATTAGCTGCTTTTTCCTTGAAATCTCTTTCAAGGTCATCTACATTTTCTCCAACCTTCTTTCTCTTCTTATTCATCTTTGGCAAGAATGCATTTAGAATAGAATCCTGTATGATCATAATTGCTTTCATGATATTATCCTTAGCCTCTTCATGTCTTCCTAATTGTGAGAGAACAACTCCAGTGTTCATTCAAGAAATGATAGGCTCTTTTTCTAATTTCTGGACTTTGAGGAGATAAACAAGAGCACCTCTTAACTGTCCTTTGTCTCTGTAATAACAAGCAAGGTTGTTATATGTCAACGCTACAAGTTACACAACCTCCGTACCCTTGGTCTCATCATCCCCATCAATATATTTCTCTGCTTTCTTAAGATAAGGAAGGCATAGGTCATACTCTTTCTTTTTAAGATGTTGTATAGCAAGGATATTGCAAGTATCTCATGCCTTTTTCTTCATCTCTTGACTGACCAGATTACGTTCGATCTGTTCATGAATAACTCTTTCGTATATCCTTAGTATTTTCTTATACTGACCTTTGCTCTGCAACTTCTGGATTTCTTGGTCAAGAGCTGAGTACTCCACTTCCATTTCAAATTATTGTATTTATTTTGGGGTTTTGGGGTTTTGGGGTTTTGGGGTTTTGGGGTTTTGGGG